CCCTATATCCCACTTAAAGTGTGTCTGGCTGCATTTTACTTATTAACCACAATATATTCCCACTGCCTCAGTGACATTTTGCTATTGAAGGAAGTGCTAATCAGCTGGAGCCTCTGCTACTATTGCATGCAGCCGACAAGTTTCATAAAACTAGCAGAGTGCAACAGACAGCCAGATTTAAGCAAAATGGAAACAGGCCTGTCCACTACCAAGCGAGACAGACTTCTGCCGGCATGTCTGCGATCCAAGAGCTCACTGTTTGACGAGCAGCAGCCAAGTTCTTATTTCACCAGCCGTAGGACTGGAATCAATAATTCTGTTACTTTTGAAACAAGCTCTAACTAGCTTTTGATGTTTATATTGTACCTTGAGGAGGTAAATGGGGAAATTATTCACACCTTTTCTACTGCTATTGTGTTTCTAGAGATTTTTAAATATTAATTTCTGCAGGAAAATATGTTTCTGTAGGGAACACAAAAGCATAAAGCAAGTACCGAATATCAGCGGGCTAACATTTGAAATGAATCATTTCGGTTATTGAACCAAAATTCTGAGACAGCCAAAAAAAAAACAGGACAGCAAGGTATTTAAGTATATAGAAATGCCTACACCATGAACATAAAGACGTGGCATGACCCTTATTGCTTTCTTTGCTGTAAAAATATTAAATATTTCTGAAAAGGTCTAAATTACTTAATTTGCAACAATGCTCCATAAGTGAGTAATTAGGCCAGCTTTAGTGACTGTGTAGTCCAGAGGAGTGCAAACATAATCATATATATGGCTATATACTGTGAATCAAAATAAAATATAATCTTAACATACCAGTTAGTTTATCAAGTACACATATTATGAATGATTTTTCATATGGAGTTAATGTGTTAGTAATTAATACATTTAAAATAGTTTGAATTCAACAGATCATGGTGTGCCTTAAAAACTGTAGATTATACAGTGAGGTCTGCAACATTCTGCAACATATTTATAGCCATATTGCCATCATTAACGCTTTACAAGTATTCTGTAATTGAATATATATGTAATGTGTGGAAAATCATTCTTTAAGAGAAAGGCAATAGAGGTTTGTAAATGATGGCACTGGAAGAAAAGGCATAATTGTAGAATATTCTTTTTTCTAAGAAATGCACCAGAAATTGTAAGTCTAATTATTTTTTATTGACTCCCCTTAATTAATTTTAAAATGTTTGGTATTTACCAAAATGTGTATTATTTCTTCAGGTTTTTTATCATCTACAGGAATCCCATTGACTTCCCTCAGTTCATCACCAACGTGAATAAGACCTACAGAAGGCAAAGAGGAGTTCTTAAATGGTAGCTATGTATTATACAAAAAATGCCATTAACATTCAGCTTTTTGCTCCCTTGTTCATCCACTTTAAGCTCTAACTTAAAAGCAGGGATATATGGTGAACACAACAGCTACTGTCCTCACAGATCTAAGTTTGAGATGGTTGGTTTACTCACCTCCCTTCCTTCCTCCTGAAAATTAGTACCATTTCTCTATGACTTTTCCAGACTCTCTCATGCAGATGTTTTAAAAACGTCCGTGCCAATTCTTTTCCTTCTCATACTACTTTCTTATTGCTACACAGCTGCAAGTACTGCAATGATCACTTAGGCTGTGAGTGCTAATTTGTAGCACAAATGCTTCCTAATTTAACAATATATAGCTAGATTTACTCCATTACCCCATCTAAGTGTGAAACACAACTGTCCTAGATTCTCCCTTCAATGAAAAGCAGCACTTTAGAGTGTAATTCAGGACTCTTGCGTGAGTTCTTGCAGACTTTGAGCAACCCAAACCAAAAAATGGCAGTCAAGGATGTGCTGGTATTTTGAGAATTACCAGCTGAAAGTCCAAATGAATGTACTAATGTAAAATAACACAGCCCTCCTGAGTTCCTCCATCAGCAGGTTGTAATCTGGGCATATCCTGTCATTTCTAAGTGGATGACTTCAATTGGAAACCAACCGTGACACATCTCAAAATACCCTGTATCTGCTAAGTCAAAGATACCTGGTTGCAACTGAATTGGGGAAAAAATTCAGCATGAATACTTTCACCAGTATCGAAAGATCACTTTTGAAAATTGTCAAAATCTCAAATATTTTTCTTTGTGATAGTGATGTATTTCATTTCTACAAAATATGCCATTTCATTTCATCTTTTTCTGAATTATAGAACTTGAATGGCTAGTGCCAACCAGGAACACCTTACCACTTCTATCTGCAGCTCCTCCACGCATTATTCTGGCCACCACAATTGCACCACTATGTTCATCCCTCTTAATAGTAGCTCCCTTGGGTTTAAAAAAAAAAAAAAAAAGTTATTTGGTTAATCTTACCATAATTTCAATTGACTACACTAAAAAACATTTGCTATGTAAAACTGCAAAAAGTTGATATTGTATCGATACGTGAATAAGCCAGAAATGACACTTGCTCATGAATAGACAAAATATGTTGCTCTATTACCATCCTCTTAAAATGTGACTTCTTTTCCATTCAGAAGTAACTCATGCATTTTGTATGTACATAGCTTTAAAAAAAAAAAGGACAAATGAGACAGAAAGTTGACTTTTCAACTTAATGTTAACTGCAGCGTAACTTAAGTCTGCTGCTAAATCTGTACTAAACTATTGCTGAAAATTGTTGTTCCCACATTAAAATAGGCCATGTTACATACTACGAGTACAAAAAGCTTATCTGTGTTCATAACAGTTGCACTTTATGCTCAGAACTGCCTGTGCACCCACTGATCATCATTTCGCTTTACAGTGTTATCAATAAATAAACAGGAATTTGAGAAACACCCCCACATGTCAGGGCTCACCTGGAATACTCGTGGGACAGAAATGCAGAGGAGGGGAACATTTCCTGAATTAGTCATGACTGTTTTCATACATTACACAAACACGGTGCAAGGCATTTAGGTAAAATGACATCATGTAGTTAAATTTCCAGCGAACGGCTGTCCAGATGAGAAAAATGCCTTTGTAACTAGAACTGCGAGGGAGTGCTGAAAAGAGGCACAAGGTGATGGGGAAGCAGCAGGCAGTGAACAAGCGCGGAGGGAAAGGAAGGGGAGGCACGGAGCCGCTGCCCAGGCTGGGGTACCAGTCCTTCCAGGTAGGCGGGAAGCGGCGAGGGGGAAATGCTGGCCCTGCTCTGGCAGGTGGAATCCACAGAATAATGAGGGGGATTTGACCTAGGTAAGTCATACTAAATAATCACCTCCAAAAAGGTTATTTGATCCAGTATTTTTAAAAAACACCATGAAAAAAGCACCTCCTGGCCAACAGCTTTTTACCTGCCCATGATTACTTTGCCACGTTAATGTCATTAGTTACCTGCAATAGCTCTAACTTTGTTAATCAACAGAGAAATTTAGGAGTCTGGGAGGGAAGTCAATGTTCGTATCTGTGATTAGGTAACGAACAGTATTACTTCACCTGCGAGTACAAGACAGTGGTACATGCACTCTGCCACCCCTGGTTAGAATTTCCTTCCATCAGAGAAGTGTTGTGCTTGAAGTAAGGTACGTAAGTACTTAATACATTTCCTCGAATAACTAAATTGCTTTTTATAGCTACCTTTCTATATTTGTTTAGATTAAACACGAACATCACGTTTATCACTACTTCAATTTTTAAGTGTTTCATGAACATAAAGCTGAAATACATACAATTTAATAACAGGGGTGACATTTTACTAACAACTTTACTGACTGTTAATAAACTTGTTTCCCTTTCCCTCTACCTCTACGATGGAAAGACAACACAAGACATGAAGACAAAAATGGAGATCAATTTATATTTTTTTATATGCAAACTGCATTTATTGCAAATAGAGAAAAATGAAAACAGTCACCAGACAATATTCTCTTTGGCTGAAACTTTAAAAGTAACCAGCACTTCATGGCAAAATTGATGTGCTGTGTTTGTGCATTTTATTTATAGGTGTGAGATTCTATCTGTAAGTGAAGTAATTCTGCAATTTTCCAAGCTTACTCTTACGTATTGTTTATAATGTAATTATATTGGTAAGCAGTTGTTTGTGTTCTTTCTTACGACCTCAGTTTCACATTAGTCTGAGAGTTTCAGAAAGATAAAGATTTATTACATGCAGCTAATCTCACTTTAAAAAACTCATGATCAGACTTCTGTGCAAAAAAATTGAGTACCATTAGGAATATATTAAACAAAGCATTAACCCCTCTAGCCTATACTTCGATATTAGGTTCTGACCTTGAAGCAACAGCTATTAATTTGAAGTTTACATCTGTTTAAAAGTACAAAGCATCTTTTTCTTTTTCTTTTTTTTTTTTTTAATATATCCATCAAAAAGAAAAAAGCAGGATTAGGATGCTAGAGTCAAATATAAATACAGGACATTTCCACTATATTGTCCACATAAACCAGAGGCTCTCCTAATTAATCAGGGAAAAACCCTTGAACAGAAGGGCTTTATGCCTTTTTACCTAGAAGTCAAGACTTCTAAATGCCACTGAACGCAAAAGGCAGGCAATGGCCAACAGCCCTCCACTGTGATCACCCAGGTACCCCAGCCCCTAACACTGATGTCTGAAAACAGGTACTTCACCTTGGATTTAGACAGACTCTAGGAAAAAATCTTGTGTGTGATCAAAGAGCACAGTATTGACCCAGCTGGCCTCTGGAAGTAATGGTGAGGCTCTTGTCCAAGTGGGATGGTCAGTTCATGCTTTATGCGATTATTACTACTGGCGTAAAATGAATATTCCTAGCACAGATTAGCCAATTTGAAAGATGCCCCAGAAAAGATAACAAGTAAATTGGAATTTTCAAACAAAGCACAAAATCAGGTTTGAATTTACAGGGAAATTATTTAACCCGAGTTATCTCACTGGCAATAACTCCTCTATGGCAAACTCAAAGTGAACGGGCAGGCCCATGAAAAGCACTGTTTGAGGTTACGTATTTTTGCTGTACCTACAGTACACAAAGAAAAAAGGGGTTCCTTAAATTCCCCTTCCCTCCCAATTTAGAACACTTAAAAAGAAATCATCAAACACAAGTGGATTTCTTTTTGAAAACCTGAAGAGTTGCTTTTCTGAAAAAGCAGCTTCTCTTGTACTGCTGCCAGCCCTGCTTAAACTATGAAGTATATATAATCTGGCAAGAATTTCTCCTTATGAGATGTTCAGCTCCAGTACTTTCAGTTACATGTGCAGTGCAGCTCCTCATTTAGAGCTTTAAAAATGGAAGAAGGTTAGACTGGACCTTGAGAGCTGGAAAATATTTTCAGTGTTGCTAGCCAAAAGTGTAAGTTACCCTAAATGAGACATATACAGATGTAATAGCATAGCTCAGTTTAAAATACTTTTAAAGGGAAAAATAAGGAGTTTGGGAGCCATATGGTGATCAGACTGAGAAAATGTTTAAAGGTATACCATGCAAAAGCACTAAAAATAATACAAGCTCCTTCAGCAAGGCTCTTTCACTGTTTTTTGGGTTCAGTTTTTGGTTGGTTTTTTTTGTGTGTGTGGTTTTTTTTTTATTTTTAATGTAGCAACACTGATTGATGAACATCACTCACAGTTACACAGATGTGAGCTTTATTAGTTCACCCATTTATCTGCTGGTTCCAGAACATAAATATTATAAGCCTTTATTTTTAAAGAAAGAAAGACTAGCCTGTAAAATAAATTACTAATAAGAGAGTTTGAAACATCAGTAACATTTTTGCATACCTTTCTGTTAAACAAAAACACATGCAGCTGTTGAATGCTAATAAGTACTTCAAGAAGCCTTATTTTAATTCATTTGGTATTGAAAATGCAAATACAAATATCAGTATTTGTCTATGGACACATAGACTATGCACATTAAGGCTGTCCCTACACCCAAATTAATCCCACCTATAAGGTTGTTGGTTCATTCACTAATAAGAACCGAGCTACGGGGACTTGGAGTGAGAGACGAGGAAGAGCTGTGGAATCTGCATGGGCAGAACATGTAAACGACTCCTAAATCACCACGATTCGTTTCACCCAAGTTCAGCTATGGAAATCAGGTATCTAGTTCAAGCTAGGTGTCTAGGCTCCTCCAACAGTTAATGAAAAGAAATAGGCAGCTCTGGAGAATGAATTCACTCTTTCATGAAGACAGGCATCTTAAAGAGATAGCCATGGTTCATTGTCTGGAGCTGCCTGTTTTTCTCTTGACTACAGACACAGCATAGAGATTAGTTTTCAAATGGCAAAATTTTTGTGAAAAGAATCCGTGTGAAGAAGAAGCAACCATCTTAATGTTAAGAATCATCCTATCCAATGTCAACTGCATGACAGCTCTAACAAACCTGGAATATCATTTGGGAGCTGGAAGTAGTGAGATGCCAGAAGCTGAACTCCTGGTAGTGTGGTTGTACATCTCGGATATCAGGAACACTAACCAGGAAAATGGGAGTGGCAGAAAAAGCCCTGGAGAGGTAGGCATAAGTAAAAACCCTCCAAGCTATCTGATAAGAAGTCTAATTATAGCCAGGTGAGTTTTGGACTATCTCTGAAGAGAGATGTTTCTACTTCTCTTCACATAATCAGAGATGTTCTAAATAACTTTGTTCGGATAAAACGTCCTAACACAACTTCACCTCACTTGAGCAAGACTCTGCTAGAATGGCATTTACTAATAGAGCACTTAGGGGGGGAAAAAAAACCCAAACCCAAATCCAACAAACAAACTGTGGAAAGATTAACAAGAAGCTTAAATCATCCAAAAAACTAGAGGAAAGTTCAGCACTGCCTTCGGAACTGATGAAATCTGGCAAACAGAAGGCCCTCCCACAAACCATGTGTTTCCCTCTTTTGAGATGATTACTCCTGGGAACTCAGGCTTCATTAATATGTGATGAACACCAGCTCAGAACACCGCTGAGGTGCTTAACTCAGAGAAAAGCACAAACAAGTACAAGAGGAAATGTGGGGCAGTTTTATATAAAACTGGTCACTAGACATATTCCAAAGAAGTTTAGAGCGTGCCTAATTTTCTTCACAGAGAGTACCATTGAAAGTCTTCCAAAGGAGATATCCAGTTCAAGAACTTCCAGGGTGTGCAGCTGATATAAAGCTTATTATTTTGCAGAAAAACAGTCTCTACTGTTTGTGTACAAGTACAGAATGAGAATATATGAGATGAAAAAAAAGTTCAGAGAGCTCGGTATCTTCAAGTTAAGAAATCAGACAATCTCCATCTCAGAAAAAATACTGTACGGTGCCTTCAGTCTCAAGGTCAGTAGCAAGAATCCTGATACAACTAAGCAAAGAGAAGTCTGACTTTATGACTGGACAGTAGTCAATAGATAAACTGAATAAGCAGAGACTCTTTGATCTGTACTCAGCTAAGAATATCTAAGACTTTAGAGCAATTTCTGAAGTACATGCAATTAAAAAGACATGGGAATAAATAGGAAATTTTAAATAGTTTAGTAAACATAGATCATGGCATATCCTTTCTTTAGTAAAGCAACTTCTGGAAGCGTAGATGCAGTAGATCTAATACACCCAGCAAAAACCTGTCTTTATTTATTCTGCCATGCCATATTCTGGTAAGACCTTATCTGAATTACTACCCATGCTTCTTCTCACCCCTGCCTAAGGAAAAAAAAAAAATCTGGAGAAGGCAAAGACACAAATAATAGGTCTGTTATGTATTGTGGTGATGGTGTCATAAGAAGAGGGGGGACATTTGGAATTATGGCATGTTGCCTTCCCAGGTCACCATGACGAAGCATGATGGAGCCCTGCTTTCCTTGGGATGACTAAAGGGAAGTAGTGATTGAATTCCCCATTTCGCTTTGCTTGCCTGCAGCTTTTGCTTTACCTATTAAACTGTCTTTAGGTCAACCCATGAGTTTTCCCATTTTTATCCTTTTGATCCTCTCCCCCATCCCACTGGGGAATGTGAGTGAGTGGCTGTGTGGGGCTGAGCTGCCTACCGAGGTTAAACCACAACAGACACATGCATATCTGGAAGAGTTTAGTATCCCACCACCATCGATGGGTAAGAGTGGAATCTGAGGAACAGCCCAAGGATAACCTTTAGTTTATGCAACTCTATTTGTCCCTTCAAGAGGGTAGAAAATCTCTCAGTTTTGTTTTCAAAGTTGGTATTTATTCAGTTCACTTTGAGATACTACTAACTTACAGTATGTAACTCATGGAAGTCTTAGTAGCAAATCATGTTTGAAACATGAAAATACATAAAAGATTTTAAGATTTTTCTGACATAAATTCAAGATAAAACAATACAGGTGTTTTCATTAACACAAAAAATAAGCTGCTCAATTAGAACTCATCTCATATCATATGTTCAAATTTCTTCATCTTTCAAAATTAATACTCTTTCTGATACTAAATCCTAAAACGAGTTTGTTTTCTTTCTCAAATAATTTCTTTGATTAAAAGAAAGGAAAACTTAAAGCTATGATTTAAATATTTTGGGAAAAAAATGTTTAATATGTTAAAGTAAAAAACTTTCCATATGGTCAACCTTTTAATTATGCTCATGGGCACCTACAGGCAGTCAATACCAAAACTTATTTCTTGTTTACTGATGCCAGAAATCCATTAACAATAAGAGTGATAGTAAGACATCTATGTGGGACAAGCTACCCTTGCATGTCTAACAGAAGCATTGCTCTCCCTCTGACATCTTAAGTACAGAATCACGGCTTTCTCAAAGTAACTTTGCAGATATTTCTTCAGGATTGCTATCCATTAAAACAAATATCCAGTACAACATAAAACAAAGCTCTTACTGGTTTGCAGGAGAAAAAGAATATAGTTAAATTTTATACAAGATGACTCCCACTCTATAGCAAATAAAAATAACCAAATCAGTAAAGCATTTTAATATTCTTGTAATACAACCTAGGTTTAGTCCTTTCATTTTTCCAGATATCCCCATGAAGATATTAACTTTCTAGTACTCATAATCCAAAGTACAACAACAGACATCTTAAATTTGCCCAGATTTCAATTCAAGTATTTTAAAATATGTTTTTATGCTTTCTTTTCAGTGTATAGAAAGGTCACATTTTTTTACCTGAATGCTAACAGGCACAGTTCACAACACAGGTCAAGTTTTCTTTGGGGATTCATTCTCTCTCTCTCTCATTTTAAAACAAGCTCATGATTTGAATTCAAGATAAAAGATGAATATATTATTGATCTAAATGCTCAGACTGGCCCACATATGTAATGCTCAAACATCATGAATGAAGAAATTCTTATTATTCATTTCATATGCTTTACTAATAATGACTGTGAATGGAAGTCACAAGTGTATTATTGAATGTTATGAATAAACATGCGTAATGTCTGTCTGTCCACATTTCAAGTTAATGTCGCTCATTGATATTCATAATCTGAACACTCCTCACCCTGTGCACAAACAAAAGACAAGGTGACTTACCAATGGTTCCCTGTTTTTGACGAGCCTGATTATTTTAACTGAATCTTCTTCCTCATCGATATCATCAGGCATGGGGGGCAAGACAGGATCATAGTTCTTCTGAGCAACAGTATCATGCACAGAGAGCAAAGCCTGGAAACATTAATAGTCAGTATATTATTATTTGGCATCTGAAAAGTTTATGAAAGACAAAGCAGAAGAAATTATTTATAGTCTAACTCTAGTAGCGTGATGCATGTAGATTGAATATAACTCTTGTATACAATTTTAACACAGGTCAAACTGATGAAAGAACTCCATGAAGTATATGTTTTCATACATACAATGTATGCAACTAGTATATTGTGGATACAGAACAGTGTCTTCATACACATGAAAATATCGAGTGCTTTGCACATTAGCTTGAAATGACAAGAATTATGATCAGGAGAAAACCCAAGTCTCCTGAAGTAAGAACATCACTCTACACATCCTAGATGAAAGGTTTCTTCAAAACAGTAAGTCCTATGAAACAAATAAGCAAAATAAGCATCTTCCAGTACCTGTGTTCAAGCATGAGATGCATGACATTAAGCTGTTGTTGCCCAACCATTTCCTTCAGAGGGGCTCTGGAAGCTTACCCAGCTAATGGATCCCTTTCATACTAGGTCCCTTTCACACAAGCTCCAAATTATCTTAGGATTTTTAAATTTTTTGTGGAATTCATGATTGAGATTGAGGAATATATTGCTGAAACTATTTGGTTCAGGCAGATGCTTATCAATCTCCTGTCACATCTTGCCTCCTTTCTTTCTCTGTTGCTTCTGCAGTCCATGCATAACTTGAACAATACATTTTTCAAAGAAAAGCCTAACAAATCCTGACAAAAGGTTCAATCTTAAAATAATCTGTGAACTTGCAGAAATTAAAAAAAATCTTGAAAGTCAAAAGAAGTTAGAAAGCTCATTTTCCTAAGGCTCTCAAAAAATCTCAGCTATAATCTAAAATTCACAGCTTTTTCTAGATACAGAACTCAAAGTTCTTTTCTATTTTGAAAAGTTTTCATTATTTGTAACACTTTTTAAACTGGTGAAAAATGGTAAAGTAATGCTTTTAGTTTTGTAGTGAAAACTATGCATTATAGCAGGAACAACAGCAACAGCCATACATATAATTCTATCTACTACTTTCAGTTTCTTCTGTTTTCAAGTAGCTGCTCCTAAATACTCAAATATTTTACATTTTGACCTGATATTTTTTCCCAAAGAATCAATATTACAAAAGTTTTAGTCCAAATAGCAGAAATAATTTGCAAATTGATAACCTTCCTGACAATAAAAACAGCATTTTGGAAAACATTGAGATGTTTAGGATAAAATAGAACACATCAATGTTGTTGACATGGATGATATCAGAAGGTATCATATCAATGACTGTAACAATGAATCTATTATATCAATTATCATAATGATTAAGAAGAAACTCCTTAATAAAGAATGGAAAATGGCTCCATTTCTCTGATGCCAGTTTACTTGCTACTTAATAAAAGGCAGATAAGATTAGACTGAGTACACAAATGACCAGAAACTGTATGTTCTCAAGGATAATGCAAATGTTTTAAAAGAAGCATGACACTTCCATTATGCTATTCCAGGATTTTCCTCCTGAGTGGAGGAGACTAACAACAGAAAGCTATTTCCAGGCAATGCTACAAGCTGTCATGTCAAAAGCAGAAGGCAATGAGTGCATGGTAATCTTGAAATTCTGAAGTTTAAATTTAGAAGTTAGGTCTTAAACAAAATAAACACAGAGGAAGATCGTGCCTGCTTCATGAGAATTTGCTATCATTTTACTAATTTCTGTGCACATTGTACAAACTGATGAAAACATTTCAACACACACTAACTAATTATTTCTGGTTTTCTTCCCAAGACACAGTTATGTATTTGTACTATTTACCATCAGAAATTACTAGCTCCCTCCCACCAAAGATCAGTTTGATTTTAGATCTGAAGCTAAAAACCTCAGGCTAGCAATTATGGTTCCTCCTGGAAATGTGTATTATGAAGCATTACATATGTAAAAGCCATGCAATCACATGCACTCTTCTAAAGATGTATGTGAAATATCAAAGACATACTAAAACAAAAGTAGTGTTTGCTTTTACTTCAGGCTACTTACAGTTAAAACTTCTAAAACTAGTCTTCTGCAATTACGTTTTTCCACATAAAGCTAGGGCACATTCATGGACTGGTTCAATTTAATGAGGTTCTATATTGCAGTTTAAAAACAATCAGGCAGATAGAGAAAACAGATGAAAATAATCTAAAGCACCACTTCCAGAGTAAAAGGCAGCAACTTAAAACATGTTCAAAAGAACCTACCCTTGACAATGAAACTCGCAAAACAGATTCTGTCCAATACTACACTGAATTATGCTGCCAGCGTTAATAAGACATTTCCCTGCTCTGACACATCGGGTTCCTGGACACTGTGCGCAAAAGAATGATGCAGCCGAAGTATCATAAACCAATGCCAATCAATGTCTGGTATTTACGATGCTTTTCTTCACTCACAACAACTGGAACTTATCAAGCCCTTCCTTTGTCCTCACAGAAAACCATATTAAACCACGATGTACTAGAATTTTCAATGTAAGATCTTTTACCCAAACTCTGGTATTATGGGAACACACTAAGATTTCTTTCCTGCTTGTCTTCCATCATTGCTTCTTCTAATACACTATTTTCTGTCCACTGTACTTGCTCTTGAAATAGTCAGCAGCATAGACATTGGGCAATAATTTATCTGCAAGCAAAACTCATAAAGCTATTTTGATTTCACTTAATGTATTCAACTAGAGGCGATCAGAGCCCGTCCTTGAGAGAACTTCCATATGTCCTGAACACACAAAAAAATTACCATTTTCACAGAGTAAAGGGACATTTCTTCAGGAGCTTCTTTGTACTGTGCATTTAAAATAATGCATGCTTAGTCCAAAAAACTATCTATCAGACTAGACTTTTCTAGAAAAGGTTGGGACTTTTTAAAAAGCAAACAAATTACAAGTGCCAAGAAATAAAACTTGGATCCTGTCATGAACAACATTTGCACAGAAAAATTGTGCAGTAAATGCACAAGGCAATATAAAGGTAGTAATGTTCTCTTTTTGTACATAAGAAGGAATTGATTTATTCACTGAAGGTTTATACTCTTATGATACTAATTTTAGCCTATCACAAGGAACTGCAAGAAGAGCAGATGACATTTTAAATTTTTTTTTTATGTTTTGTTTTTGTTTTCAAATACACAACTTTTCAGAACTATGCATGTACAATCCAAGATTTGGGTCATGTATGTTTAGGCACCTCTGGAGAAAAAGATTTTATTTCAGCTCTAAGTTCTATGCTTATGATTCATTAATGTAAACACGGTCCATATTTAGAACTTGAAAGAAGGTATGATTCAAACTCCTGCACTACCTAAATATAAATATTGATGTTCAGCTAAATTCTTAGACATGATCTAGCTGGAAATGAATACTTTCATCAGACCTCTGAAATGTCTAATAACTAAATGCTGTATTTTTCATATTAAAGCTATCACTGATCATTTCACAGTTCATAAATTGAAATTTTAGGCTATCAACTTACACAAAGAAAATGTGACATTGGAAACATTCAAAGTTCTTTTTCTTAAACTGTTACGAAACTTTGAACGTTTACTTAAATTGAGAATGTTATTAATGAAAACAGTTCTATATTTTGAAAAATGTGTATCATTTAACTACATTCACTACATTTTTGCTCCTCTAAAACAATGACAAATTTTATATTATTTTTTGCTTCTGTTTATATTTTGAGATCCGTAAGAGTAAAAATACCCCAAGTAGCACATGATTCGTGAACACGGCTCTTTATGTTTTCAAATTCTCATTATTTAAAAAAAAATATATATAACTCAATTTAAGCTTTACTTTTCATAAATATTTTGCATTTACTAGTCTAGAAAAACATTTTAGAAAACAGTAAGTTAAAAAAAAGAAGCAAAACAGAATGGACAAAGAAACAAAAGCAGCCTCTTTCTTGACAGTACTTGAAAAAACAAGATTAGAAAATTAAGTAATTAGTAGTTAAGATTATCGACATAAAATTTGTAGGGACTCAACCCACCTTTATGAAAGCCAACAGCTGCAGCAGATTGCAACACTGCCGAGCCAGCTGCTGGTGACCTTGCCTATGGAGGAGGTTACTGCCCTGCAGCAGAGTCAGCAAAACAGAAGAAAACGGCCCATGTCTTTGCTGTCTCAGCTTGGATCATTAGCAGAGGCCACCTCCTCTGGCAGTTCAACTTCAACTCTACCAGGTGAGACGGAGACATTTTCCCACGTCTGTGCTTTGCTATGGTGGCAGTAACTTCCACTGAGGCTGGCACAGAGAAGTCTCACCAGAGGAGAAAAGTAACTTCATCAGCAACCACAGCAACGTGCCCCTGAACTCACCTGGCAGAGCTCATCCTCCAGAGAGCTCTGGCCATATTGTGTTTTCCTTTGCGGTAAGGTTACAGAAGAAATACAAAAAGACAAGATGAAAATGTTGGTGAAGAAAATTATTCAAGACTGGAAAGACTGATTAGTAAGTTACATAAAGTTAAAATCAAATGAATGAAGTCATCCAGCAACAGATGGCAAAGAAGGAAAGCTGAGAGAGCTGGGGGGAGACTGAACCCACTGAAGGAAAGACCGTAAGAGCATCAAAATGGAAGAAGACGTGTAAGAGACATAACAGCCAAACATGTGCAAGAATTTAGAGAACAGGAGAATAAAAGCAGAAAGCTGAAGCAGTTTGATTTAAGAACACTTTGGAGAAGAATGGGATAAAACAAATGTCTAGCTTGATTCTGAAACCTTATAAGAACAACCGGTAGCAGCAGAAAATTAAGAGGGCAAAGGAGAGAGAAGAATTTAGATAAGAGGGGAAGTGGAGAGAAGAACTTTTATTCTTCAACAGAATTAGTCTTTAAATCCATTATCTGGAGTACATAAGCTAGATTTTACATTGGTGTACTGATGAATTCCATCTCAACTAATTCCACTCTCCAATAAATGGGTGTTAAAACAGCCATCAGAAAAGGGCTGTGCATGGCAGTCCCTT